TATATATATACTGCTTTTCTATATGTACTAATTTCTAGTTTGATAAATCATCGGGAATCTGGGTTGAAATTAAATCTTTTCTGTTAAATGAAGTTAAAATTTCAAAGAAAACCTTAAAAAACTAGTGAATATTCATGGACTTGTGAATCTGTGAACACGAACCAGCACCCATATGTAATTCTTTACTTAAATACCTAAAACAGCCCAGATGTGTTGCTTGTGTCTGACACCCTTTACTGTCTCCTCTGGCTAGCACACTGTCCCAATGTGGCCACGCCGTGGTAGCTACGTTGTATCCATTCACCTGGCAGCACACCTACATCCCAGTCCTGCCAGCGTCCATGATCGACATTGTGTGCTCACCCACCCCTTTCCTTATTGGAATCTTGTCGTGCTCCTTACCGCAGCTCCAGGACCTACCCATTGAAGAGGTAAGGGGGGAATACCTGTGCAACGAGTAAGGGCACTGATAGATGGTAGAAGTTTATTAATTAGCATACAAACTATTAATATATTATGCTGTTGTAATTTTGGTATCTTTTTATTAAGGTGAAAAAATTCTGTAGTACACATGAATCCCAAGTTGTCATAGTTACAGAAGTATACAGCGGACTTACTCTTGTGTTATTCTGAAAAGTAGGCTTTTGGGCAGTTTTTCTTAAAGTCAAACACAAAAATTATTCTGGGGTTAATTTAAAAAAATATTTCAGAAAGACTGTTCATCCAGGCTTGATGGTACATGGCTATACTGCAGCCTCTTGGGAGGGTGAAGCAGGAGGCACGTGGGTCACACAAGTTCAAGCCAGTCTGGACCACTTAACAAGATTTTATCTCAGAAAAGAAAAAAAAAAAAAAAAAGCTGAGCATGTAGCTTAGTGGTAGGGCCTCTGCAGGTTCAGTCACCAGCACTGAAGGGAGAGAGGAAGAGGAAGAAAAGAAATGAGGGGAGAGCAGGAGGGAGGAAGGAAATCTGTTTCAAGTATGTCGCAAAACAGTAAGCGCCCTAAATAAAACAAAAGATGCAACTTCGTGAGTCACCACTGCGTGAACACAGCATGGAGTGGGCTGAACGTCACAGCAGTGGAGTCAGTTCCACGATGCTAGTGTTTTCCATTGTGCCTGTTCTCATCTCCGGTCCCTTCCTCACTCCCTGTCGAAGGTCATCACTTGATTTTCTATTTACTTGTTTTTCTTCATAATTTTATCCTTTAGGCATGCATCCCTAAGCAATATAATTCTGCTTTGCCTGCTTTTAAGCTTATTATAAGTGGATCTCTACAGTGTTTCACTAGCTCAGTGTTATGCATATAAGATCCATGTTAATGAGTTTAACAATAGTTGGGTCATTTTTTAAAATTAATTTATTGGTACATTTTATATGTACATAACGATCACATTGATCACAGGAAATTTGTACAGGAATGTGTTGTATCTTGATTCTTTTTTTCCCATTTCTTTCCCCTCCCTTCAAATCCTCTTCCCCTCCCTATTTACAAAAGTTTTGTTTTCATTTTTTTCCTTCTATGTCTTTTTCCTTTTCCTGTCCTTCCTTTCCCCCTCCTCCTTGCTAGTTCCCCTTCTTATTTCAACATTTTCTTCCTGATTATGTATAGCTTTCCATTGTGTGAGTGGACCACCACTTTTTTATCCATTCTACAGCTGATGAACATTTGAATTGTTTGGCTTTGGGTTATTATGACTAGTCTTACTGTAAATATTCTTGTGCATGATTTTTTTGGTACAAACATCCATGCAGTTTTGTGTGTATGTACTTGGAAATTGAACTGCTAGGTCGTAGAGTAAGCATACCTTCAGCTTCAGTAAATGAAGTCAAACTGTTACAAAGAAGTTGTGCCAATTCAAACTTCACACACAGTGTATGAACTTTCGTGAATGTTTGTGTAGTTCTCCATCCTCGCCAACACTCGTCTATGTGTGTAGCCTTCCCTATTGAGTGTGTAGTAGTGTTCTAATTTGTGTTTCTTGACTACTATTGAGGGATGTTCTGTTGGCCATTTGAATATATTGGAAAGTTATCTTCTACTTTTTGTCTCTTTTTCCTTTTTGCTGTGTTAGAGATGAAACATAGGGCCTCACACATCTAGGTGAGAGCTTTACCACTGAGGCAAGTGGAGAAATCTTCTTAATTCTGGAATGTATCGCTTTGTTCTGTTTCACTTTTGACTTACTGAGGCAGGGTCTTGCTATGTAGCTGAAGCTGTCCTTGAAATCATTCTCTTGCCTCAGCCTCTTGTGCTAGCATTTTAGGCAAGCACCACTGTGCGCAACTTTTGGCTTTTGGGGTTTGTTTTGTTTTGTTTTGGTTTTGGTTTTCTACCAGAAATTGAACTCAGGACCTTGCTCTTGCCAGGCAGGCACCTGTACCACTGAGCTAAAACCCCAGCCCTCAACTTTTTTTTTTTGAGACATAGTGTTGCTATGTAGTCTAGGCCAGCCTTTAATTCACTGTGTAGCCTAGGCTGGCCTCAAACTCCTGACCCTTATGCTTTAGAATCCCAAAAGCTGAAATTAGAGGGTGCCAGCATGCCCTACCCTTTTTATAATTGTGGAAACCGACTTCTCTGTCTTTGTTTTTGTTTCGCATTACTGGGAATATAATTTAGGGAGCACTGAGCTCCAAACCCAACCCTTTTTAAAGTTTTCATTTTGAAGCAGGCCTCCATGAGGTTGCCTAGGCTATCCTTGAACTTGAGTTTCTACTACCTCTCCTTCCTTTTTTTTTT